AGACATATATATATATATATATATATATATATATATATATATATATATATATATATATATATATATATATATATATATATATATATTTATAAATTATCCGTTGGATTTGGGTTATAATAGTTTAATTTTATCTATTTGAAATTGATCGAAATCATCCAACAATGTTTATTTTTGTTAACTTGAGTAATCTGAATAATCGGTATGATTTAATTTATTTATGTACGAATGAGTTGGATCAAAGGGTTTAGACCGATCATTGAAATCTTATTCAATCCAATGTGATACACCTCAGTAAAAAATATGTTTGATTTTTGATACACAAATCTATAAATTATGCTTACAAGCAATCACAAAAGAGTGACTACAATACTATTGGTGCATATTTAATGTATCTGACACGTCGCATTAAATTTTATGGTAGATGATACTTCAAGAGATTCACTTAGTTATTAGGAGATATTAGAGGAGGAGCAAACTAAAATGTATTATGTTGTTGATGTGTTGCCTAAGTGTCGTCGTATCATGTAGATTGGACAAACATGTATTGACGGAGGAATCTTTTTGAATGACTCTAAGACGAGGAGCGTTGTAGATGTCATGATGACAAAGACTCGAGAGACTTTGTAGTATAGGAAGAACTTAGAAACATAGGGGCACGAGGCTGAGGTTGACTTCGAACCCGTTATACGTAGTAGATTATAGTACTTATACTCTTGATACATTTTGAATTGTATTTTATTTATCGGCTCTATTGTAACTTTTGACTTATAACTTTATATACCTATAAATATCTAAAATATTAATGATGACCTAAATCTTCATCTTCTTTTAAAATTAGACGTGACAATTCTATTTTTTTTTTAAATTAATGTGTTTAAATGATTAGTGGTAAGCAAATAATTGCAAGCTCATCTCCGAACTAGTCTTTGTATCTTCTTCGTTTTCACGTCCAAAATAGTAATTGAACATGAGAAATATTGAGAATAACAAGTGTGAATAGTGTGGAGAATTGTCCACATTGGTTAGAAATGTGGAGACTTTATAAGTGGGAGAACCCACACCCATCACCTTAAGATTTTGAATGAGTATGTGGTGCGTCTCTCACGAATGTGTGTTGCCCATAAAAGGAAAACTAAAAAATGATCCCTCGTGTTGACCCCCCCCCCCCCCTCCCGAATAGCCCAAATAAATGGTTTCATGAGCCTTTGGTTCGAGTCAGTGGCGGAGCCAGAAAAATTATAGAACCTGGGCAAAAATTTAAAGACCACAAATTTACATTGTATATAATATATAAATAGTCATCAATCAAAATAAAAGAGATTCGTCATTTTGTCATCAAAAATATAGTTTAAAATAAAAGAGATAAACATAACCTTACAATAGCAGGTTAAATAAAATTACGAGGCAAATGTCCTTTCTAAGACTTCTTTACGGTGAATGTTTGAATAATAGCAATATCATCAAGTGACTTGAATATCAAATCATTGAACCACACATCGTTGATCTTATTGCGCAATTTTGACTTGATAATCTTCATTGTTGAAAAAGCTCTTTTAATGGATATTGTCGACATCGACAATATCAAAACTAACTCAATAAGTTTATAAACCAATGGAAATAGCAAATGTTTCTCAGTTTGAACAATCTTCATAGCTAAACTTTGAACATATTCGCAAGTGGAAAATGAAGCATTTCTTCTCACTCGAAGAACATAAGTTTCAAGTTGATCCCTAATTGTTCCTCGGTCATCATCAGAAAAGTCAGCATGATAAATATAAGTTTCAAGTTGATCCCTAATTATTATAATCATCATAGTGTTTGACACATGAGTTGTGCAAACTATTATGACTACCATGTTTCTAATCTCTATATCCTCTTTTAGTGAAGACTTCAAAACCAAATTGTTCGGTCCTCCGTTGCTTAAAGAGAAAGCAATAAAAACAATAAGCTGCATCATTTATCTCAATGTATCCTAATCATGTATAATTCTTATACCATGATTTACTAAATTCTCTACTAACACATTCAAATTGAGTACGAGGAAATGTTGGCAAAAATAGTTGCATTGGACCCTTCAATATATATACCATCCTCATTTGGTCTTGAATATCTAGAACATACTCATTAATTTGTTTCATACAACCTGAATCACACACAATCTCATTTGGATAAACTCATTAACCATATTATTAGGCGGTGATTCTAATTCAACTTCCAGTTGCAAAACATTCACATTTTCAATATTTTCTCTATCAACTAAAAATCTCCTCATCTGTAAACAAAAGATAAAGTAGTTATAAAATTGTAATTTCAAAATTTAAAAGAATAAAAAATTAAAAGAACAATGCCACATGCTTTATACAAAATTGTTATGAAGCTTAATGTTGGGTTGTACCTTTAGCTTTAGAACAAATATATCTATTCCATGAACAAAGATTTATACTCAATGTTTTCAACAGTTGCGAAATCTGGAATTTTCTGATGCATGTCATAGTCCATATAAGGTTGAAGGACAATTAGTTATGTTAGATGTTTTAACTCACTTGAATTGTTCACTATAGTGAATACACCAAGTAGACATTAACACCGTATAATGCCAACACGACAACACTTGTCTCTCAAACAAAACACTTACTAACAGTTAGATCCAAATTTATCCATACTTTTTGTAATTTCATAATAATAATAATAATAATAATAATACTTATGGAAGAGAAGACGGCGGGGACGAAGAGAAGGAAGAGACAGAGGAGGAGGAGGGGAGAGCAACAACGACAGAGGGAGGGGGTCGGAGGAGATGTCACAGTACGGAGTCGGAGAAACGGAGAAATGACGTTTGCGTTCCTCATTCTGTCTTGCGTTCTTTCGTTTCGTTTCACTCTTTTTTTTTTTTAAATTTATTTGCTTTTTTTAATAACATGAGTACATGACTACCAAAAATAATTTGGGCCGGGTCGAGCCCGGGCATATGCCCTCCCTGGCCGTATGGAAGAACCGCCTGTGGTTCGAGTGAAGGGACTATCTTACTTGTATCAAAATTCCCGTATGAGGCATCATGTTGAAAAGTGTCAACGGCGGTACAAATCTATGTGGATAAAAGAAGCTTCCACTTGAGGGGGAGTATTATGGATAGACTCACACTTGAGGGGGAATGTTGAGAATAACAAGTGTGAGTACTGCAAAGAAGTCGCACATTGGTTACAAATATGAAGACTTGAGCATTTATAAGTGTTAAGGTTTTGGGTGAGTATGTGACGAGTCTCTCACAAAAGTGTGTTGCTCAAAAGGAAAGTCTCTAAGTGTAAAAATGCTCCCTCGTATTGACCTCTCGAGTAGTGTCAACAAATGATATCACGAGCCTTTGGTTCGAGTGAAGAGACCGACTTACTTGTATCAAAATTTTCGTAGGAGGTGTCCTATTGAAAAGTGTCAACAACGATACAAGTGTACGTGGATAAAATAAACTTTCACTTGAGGAAGATGATTGTGGATAGATTCATACTTGAGAGAGTGTTGAGAATAACAATTGTGAATAGTGTGAGAAAGTCTCCATATTAAAGAATTATAAAAAAAAACCCTAAGGGAATGATTTAGAATTTGATGTTTAAATACTTAAGAAGGAAAACATTGATACATCAAAATGGTGAAAGATGTTAGATATAGAAAACCTCAAGAACAAGAAAAGAAAAAAGTTGCTATGTCGAAAGCATTTAGTGACTTGTTTGGCCCGAAAAAGGAAAAAAAATGTGAATGATTGAGCAGTAGGGGAGTTTTAATTGTTATACAAGCAATTATATGTTTAAGGAAATGTCAATATTGGTGATTGAAAAAAATGAAATAGCAAAAATTAAGAATTAAAAGCCAAAGAAAAAAGATATGGATAAGATACGCATCCTTCTCAACACGGCGTCCTAAATTTGAACCCAACTCAATAAATTTCTAATTTTAATAATTTATTTAATAATAACATATAAATTTTACACATATCTATTTTTCAAAAATTAAAATTCTAAAACAAGCATGACCCAGATTTTGGTGATGGATAAAAAAAATGCTAGTACAAATGGAAGTCTGGGATGGGATCACTGATCAATTTTTAGAAGGTCCCTCACTAAAAAATTTATCCTATTTTTAAGGTTAGAAATTACCTCTTTTTAGATATAAACATAATCCTATTCTTGAGGTAAAAAATGTTGGATTGACACAAAACTTTAACAAATGCGGAAAAAATAAATTAAAAAAATGTAAGAATATTTTTTAAATAATAAAACATTATTCAAAGATTAATCTAACTCAATTGATAAATGTGTCCCCAACATATATTTATAATCAACAACACGTATATATAATCGAAATCAATTCAACTCAGTTGATAGATGTTGCATGTCTATAGAGGATTGCAGATGCATTCAAACACAAATTAATTCAAGTAAATTGATGGATGCATATGTGATATTACATAGTAGATTCATCTGAGTAGAGAGATAGTATTAAAAAACATGAGATCAAAATTAAATATAAAAGTATAAATGTATTATTATGTTGGTATAATTGTATTATTTTGAAGCAATAATTGATGAGAGACATATAAAATAAAAAATGGCAAGAATCAATGTTTGAGGAATTGGGTTCTTCTCTGTCTTGACCTATTTAGAGATTCTTTGTTAATAAATGAACAAGAGCAACTAACAACTAGTGCTATTCCGATCTCAGAAAGATTATGTTGTTATTCTATATATTGTCATCCAAATACTGTAAGTATTTATTATATGGTTTTGAACATTATGATTGATTAATATAATAATTATGAACAAGCAAGAAAAGACCTACCTTGTTGAAATTGAAAAGGAAAATAAAGAATTTCCATTTTGATATTAATAAATATTACATTAGTACTCCTTCGAGCTGTGAAACTTAATGCCGCATAACATAATTATACTAATCACATAGATAATAATAATAATAATAATAAAAGCAAACATTGAATTCAATGTTTGTTACTAAGAGCTACTGGTTTCTTCATTTTCATGCTCAGTCCGTTCATCTGTGATTCCACTTGTAGCCGGTGAAATTGAAGATGCAACAGTACTCTGTGCCAAGAAATCATAGAAGACAAGGACCTTTGAAGCACAAGTTGAGTTTGAAGACGAGTTTGGAGCTGAGTTGTTAAGGTTGTTGATGTCCATGTTTGGTTTCACACTCGCAGTTTTAGTACCGGCTCTTTTCTTGAGGAATATGCGGCACAAAACCCAGTTTTCATTCTGCAAAACAAAATATAAAATATAAAATATAAAATCAAGAGGCACGACGGGGTGAAATGTGTATTAGAATGAAAGAAGGACTAACCAGAGGGTTAGAGTGAGACGGAGCGAGACGATACTCATGCATAATCCAATCAGTTCTCGAACCAAGAGGCGGTTTTCCACTGTAAAAAACAAGAGTCTTCTTCATTCCAACAACCTCAGATTTCGACCAGCTAATGATTTGTTTGTCCAAACCAGTAGCTTTCCAGTAACCCGAATTTGTAGCTCTGTTAGATCGGTTCCCATTAGGGTATTTCGCTTCTTTAGTACTGAAAAAGTACCTCTCTTGTTCCAAATCGCCTACAAAAACAATGTTATAAGACAAAGAAGAAGAATGAATCAACATAACAAAAACAAGAGCCAAATACCTGGTAAATCCCATGGGTCAGACTTGCAAAGATCAGCTTCAGGGATGATGGCAGCAGGCAAAGGGAGAGAGAACACCTTACGCTTCAAATACGAAAGCACAAGCTCTTGGTCGGTTGGGTGAAAACGAAAACCCGGTGGCATTTTCAATTCACCATTCTTGACAAAGTTGATTTTCTCCATCTTTACGAGTTGGAAAGGCAGCACTCACACTCGTGTTTAAAAGAACATTGAAAAGTAGGAAGAAGGAAAGAGGAAAGAAAGAAAAGAAAAGAATAATGAAAGAAAGGGAAAAAGGGAGTAATTATTATGAAAATATTAAAAGATTAAAGAGAGAAATGAAGTGTGGGTGGTTTTATAGTGAAGAAGAAGAAGAACAAGAACAAGACATATTTGGCGTAAACCATACTCAATCCTTTCCTTTTAACTTTGACGTTTTCTCCTAACTTTCTCACACACGAAACTATAAAATGAAGGATTGGACTAATCGCTTTATCTAGAACTAATAAAGCTGTGCTATTCTCACACAAATTATCTTTAAATATGCCACATCATCTGTATTTACCATCTCATTTTTATATTATCCTCTCTCCAATTTTATTATAACAAAATAATATATTTTTAGACCCATATTGAAGAATTAATGTATTTCAAAGTTCAAATACATTAACTATTTCTTGTTTATAAAAATATTTTTTTTATATAAAGTAATTCTTTTATGAAAAGTAAATTTACTTTTTATTTATAAAAATTATATTCTTTGAAAACGTAATAAAAGAAAATTTATTTTTTATTTATAAAAAATAAATTCTTTGAAAACATAATAAAAGAAAATTTACTTTTTATTTATAAAAAATAAATTCTTTGAAAACATAAAGATCATTTATTCATTTTTTCAGTATTGTTAAATAGTATTCTTAGTATATAAGTTAGAATGATCCATATTTAAAAATTATATTTATGAATGCTATATAAGTAAATTTTTGATACATTAAAGAATTAATGTATTTGGTATATATATGGTTCAAGTACATCAAATATTTATTTATTATTTATGAAAATAACTTTTTTTTTAAAATATTTTTTTTTAAAAAGTAAATTTAATTTTTATTTATAAAAAATAAAGTCATATAAAACATATAAATTATTTATTTAATTATTTGTATTTATTTTTAATATTTTTAATTTGTATTCTTAGGGTATAAGGTAAGAGAAAAAAATATATATATTAAATATTTAAAATAATTTTACCGTGTCAATTAATCGTTATCATGTCTTCTCTCAAATCATATTATATTTTTAATGTTAATGTGATAGCGTCGAATAATGAGTCTTTATTAAAAGACAGTAAGATTGAATGATAAATCTTTATTCGATGATAATGCAAAATAATTTAACATTATCAATACACTATTTTTAATCTCATATGATAGTACGATCCATATTAAAAAATAATGTTTATGGATGGTTGTGATATGTTATTAGTATTATTAATGTTCAATAATTATAATTGTTTTTCTAATTATAAATTAGGTTTTGATTTTTCTCTCTTTCAAACGATAATATGTTGCTTTTGTTGGAATATTAAATTAAATTTATTAAAATATTAGATTTGATTAGATTTAATATTTAAATATAATTTAAGTCGTATAGACTCAAGTTCAATTAAGGTTGTACATAAGTAGTTCTAATCTGTATCATTATTTATATAATTCAATAATATAAATCTTTATTTCTTTTATTATTTTCTCTTTCTCTCCTCACTAAAGTGTCGCATGCACTAATTAATTGGTATTCAGAGCTTCAGGTTATTGTTCTTGATCGAGTTTTCAAGAATTTCACGTCAGAGATCGTGTTTCTAGGGAAAATGAATCAACTGTTGCAAAGATGGCTAGTGATAAGGGCATTCTGAATTCTCTTCTGATGCTTGACGGCAAGAATTGGATCTGATGGAAAAAATAGATGCAATCCTTGTTTGGCTTCTATGAAACCTTAGAAGTGGTTACCGACGGTATTTCTCCGGTGGCTGCAAATGCAACCGACAAACAAAAAAAAAGCTCACAACAAAGTCAAGAAGAAAGATTGTAAGACTGCTTATTGCATTCAGACGGTGGTCAATGCTGCTAATTTCGACAAAATCTCTCATGTTGAAACGATGAAGGGGACATGTGATATTCTGGTGAAGTATTGCGAAAGAGATGAGAAAGTCAAGGTTGTCAAGTTACAAACCTTGCATCGACAATATGAGTTGTTGTCGATGGGAGAAGATGAAAAAGTTGTAGAATATGTGTCGAAGGTTCAAAAACTCGTCCATCTCATGAAGAGTTGTGGTGAAACCATAACTGATAAGATGATAGTTGAGAAGGTAGCGAGAACGCTGACCTCTCACTTTGATCACGTTATCGTAGCTATTCATGAATCCAACAATATTGAAACCACTAAAGTGGAAGATTTGGTTGGTTCCTTGGAGGCGCATGAGATGAGAATTATCAAAAGGAAAAGAGTGCAAGACTCGATACAAGCTCTGTAAGCTCAGTCATAGAAAAAGGATGGTGGTTCCAACAAATTCAAAGGAAAGTTCGCCAAGACTGAGGGCAAGAAGTCTTGGTCGAAACCTCATAAACATCAGGTCGAAGATGGAGCTTCTGAATCCTCGAAAGGAGGAGGAGGAAACTATCGAAAAGGCAAAGAAGATAAAAAGGCGTGCAGTGTTATAACTGTGAAAAGATTAGGGATCGACAAGCAAGGACGAAGGAGCAAACCCTGCATGCCAAGATTTAGATGATTCTAAAGGTGGTATGGTGGTTATGGCTGCAGTTGCAGATAACCATGTCGAATCCAAAATTTAGTTTCTCGACTCAGGCTGCTCGAACCACATGACTGGCCGAAAGGAGTGGTTGGCAGATTTTGACCAGTCGAAGAAGAGCAAGGTAAAACTTGTTGATAATAGTTCATTGCAAGTAGAAGGTACTGGAAATATAGTCTTTCAAATGAGTAATAGAGGGAAGTTATGATGAAAGATGTGTTTTATGTACCTGGAATAAAGTGCAACTTGCTAAATGTTAGACAACTAGTCGAAAAAGGTTTATCAATTGTCATGAAAGATGGAGTTTTGAAATTTTTCGACACCAAGAACAATTTGGTCTTAAAATCTTCGTTGTCGAAGAATGGGACATTTAAGACTATGATCAGCTCGACTCAAGTTCAATGTTTGAAAATTATTGTTGACCACAAGGAAAGTCTGTTGTGGCATTTGAGGTTTGGACATTTGAATTTTCGATCACTCAATCAACTAATTACTCAAGATATGGTTACTGGAATTTCAAGTCTTGAGATGCCTGAAAAACTTTGTGAAGGTTGTTTAGTAGGAAAGCAATCCAGAAATTCTTTCGTTTCGACTATGCCAATGAGATCATCTTGCATACTCAGAGTGGTACATTCAGATGTGTATGGTCCATTCGAAGAACATGCAATTGGTGGAAACAGATATTTTGTTTCATTTATCGATGAGTTTAGTCGAAAATTGTGGATCTATGTGATCAAACAAAAGGATGAATCATTCAAAATCTTTAAGAGATTCAAGATACTTGTCGAAAACTAGAGTGAGAAGAAGATCAAAATTATGCGAATAAATGGAGGTGGCAAATACACATCCAAGTTGTTTAAAGATTTCTATGCAGAACATGGTGTTGATCATGAGGTAACTGCTTCTTATACAACTCAACATAATAAAATTACTGAAAGAAGAAACAAAACCATACTAGATATGGCGAGATGCATGCTGAAGCAAAAGAACTTGCCAAAGTCTTTATGGGGAGAAGTTGCTTCGACTGAAATTTATATTTTGAATAGGTGTCCTACCAAGATATTGAAAAACAAAGTTCCTTAATAAATATGGAGTGTAAAAAACCATCAGTGAGTCATTTGAAGGTGTTTGGCTCTATTTGTTACAAGCATGTTCCTGATGCAAGAAGAAGGAAGCTTGATGACAAGAGTGAACTTATGATTCTGATATGATATCATAAAACTGGTGCATACAGACTATTCAATCTAGTTAATGAGAAGATTGTGTTGCGTCGAGATATTATGATTAATCAAAATTCTGTCTGGGATTGGAATTCTAGCAATTCAATTAACAAGCCATTGATGAGTTCTGATGTCGATGAAGAAACTGATGAAGTAGAAGTTGAAGGAATTGTTGAGAATATAGTCGAACTCGAAGAAGAAGCAGTTGCTGACATTCCTGACACAGTTGAAGTCGAAGAGGTTATGGCTGAAACAATCCAAAGACCTCAAAGAAATAGAGTTCTTCCAACAAGACTTCATGATTATGAAGTGGTGGGTGATGACGAAGTCACACCAGATGGAGAATTAGTTCATTTTGCTTTATTTGCAGGTGTTGAACCAATTAAATATAGCGAAGCTTTGAAGACTAGACAGTGGAAGTTAGCTATGGTCAAAGAGTTACAGGCAATCAAAAGAAACAACACATGGGAGTTAGTCGAATTGCCAGCACATATAAAAGCTATAGAAGTAAAGTGGGTATTCAAGTTGAAACATAATGTTGATGGCTCAATAGTAAGACATAAAGAAAGATTATTAGCTCGAGGGTTTCTTAAAAGAGAATGACTCGACTACTCTGAAGTATTTTCTCCAGTAGAAAGATTGGAGACTGTTCGACTAGTGGTAGCATTGGCATGCAACCCAGGTTGATCGATATTTCATTTAGATGTGAAATCAACATTTTTGAATGGTCCTTTAGACGAAGAGGTCTATGTAACACAACCTCTAGGGTTTATGATTTAGAAGGAAGCGAGTAAAGTATATAAGTTACACAAAGCGCTCTATGGCCTCAAGCAAGCACCTAGGGCATGGAACAAGAAGATCGACTCATACTTAGTCGAATTGGGATTTGTCAAATGCAAATCTGAGTATGGTGTCTATGTTTAGGTTATAGCACAAGATATAACAATCATCTGCTTATATGTCGATGACTTGCTAGTAAATGGAAATAGCTTGGAGAACTTGTCGAAGTTCAAAGAGCTGATGATGAAGGAATTTAAAATGTTTGATTTGGGAAAATTGTCTTATTTCTTAGGTATGGAATTTCAAATGCTGAAGTAAGGTATGGTGCACTACAAGAAAAATGATAGATTGGGACGGTTATTTTGGCTGATTACGAC